TCCTTCTTTCGCTCTCTCTCTCTCTCGCTCTTTCTAGTGATTTTTTTTGCTCTCTCTCTCTCGCCACCACGTTTAACGTGCAAATGGTTAGCATGCATCTCAACATGAGTCACGTGCAACACGGCTAAAAAAAAATGCAGGTATTAAATTAATTCACCTTGCCGGAGTTTCTCTTCTCGGGTTGCAGCAAGCTCTGAAAAATGAGAAAGCCGTTGAGGACAAGCTACAGGGAGCACTCGTACTATACACAGAAAATCTAATCTATTCTACAGACGTTTTGAAAACATGTATGTTAAACATGCTGTTTTACACAAATTAAATACACACTGAACTACTGTTTAGAAAGTAAGAAAAGGATAAAAAAAAAGAGGGAAAAAGTAAAGCGACATTTTCAAGACCAGTCTTTCTACAATGCAAAAAAGTTTAGTAAACGCGTTAGAAGACAAAGCACAGAACACTAAATCCTAAAAAAAACACAAAAAACACGCAAGTTTATGTAGTTACTAAACATCTTCGAGGGCTATCGACGATTAGGTGAAATATCAAATAATAAAAACTCGAAAGATCAAGCAGTTATAATTCGTAAGTCAAATAAGATTTCCAAACATTTTCAACTTTTTACCACACATACCAGAAAATGGCATATTACAGGAAAAACGCGGAACTTATCAAGAAAACGATCCAGATAACCTATAATTGCGCATATGTTCTCTCTTTTTTTCGTAAAATTACTTATCACTCCATGCTAATGAAAAGCAGTACAATTATTTCTCCAATAACGTTGCAGTAAATCAAATCAAATGACCTGTTTAATAACCTCCGGGCAATTTCAAGCCATTTTGAACATTATTTAAAAACATTTAAATTAGCCTCAGATTTATAAAATATGCATATCCCCCCCCCCTATCTTCTGTTGCAACCATGTGGATATTTCTTACAAAAATGCTGTGGTAAATATTAAAAAAATAATGATAAAACTAGCAAAAATTAAAACAAGTACGTAACTAACAAAAACCATAAAAATATTTAATTTTTCCAAAATACGGCATTACAAGAGTAACAAAACATAAAATATTACTGATTAATTAGTTAAAAATAATTCAGTCATTAATACCACGATTGTCAACTTCATTTTAATTATAGCACGCATAAAAAAGAGCTCCAAAAGATTGAGGTGGGAGGGGGAAAGAAGAATATCAACAAAATTGTTATAAACACGATTTACTATCACTCTTGATAATTTGTGTTTAAGGTCCTACATAAGATGCTACATATTAAATATTAGGTACAGGGTTATCATCAGGAGAGGAAAAAGTCACTGTTTGTTACTAAGCGCAAAGCTACACAGTGTGTTATCTGTGCTGTGCCCACCTAAACGCGATTTTTAGCATTGCAAGCCCTTAGACTAGTGGTTCCCAACGTTTTTTGGCCCTCGTACCCCTCCCTTAAAAAGTGTGCATTAGACATTTCCTCTTCGCGACATTTGGGGGAAAACGGACCTTGTATAGGTCTCTTCCGCGCACCCCCTGGACTCTCATTTCGCACCCCTGGTTGGGAACCCCCGCCTTAGACATGACACTGAGCCACCAGGTCGTACATAATTCCATAATTTTTATACGTGTATTTTCTTTTGGCTGTTAACCTATTGCTTATCTTAAATTATATACTTTGTCTATTGCCATAAAAAAAACGTCCAATTAAAAGTTTGATCTCTCTTTTTAAATAATTCGTCAGAAGATTAAGAAATTATTGATAAAAGGTAGAACAATTTAAATTAAATAGTTGTAATCCGAATGATGTAATAAAGTATGTTTTTTAGAGTTTCAAAAATTTTATTAACTAACGAATGATTCAATGTCAAATTGTACAATTCTGAAGATGTTCATCACCGTGCAGAATAATATATATACTGTCTGTATTTTTAATTGTATGAAATACGTAGCCTGATTACAAATATTTCTGAGTTTGTATTTTATAAATTCAATACCTTATACCATAGCAACAGCTTTCAACACAGCCCTCTTCACGTTTAGATTTGTCATTAGAAAAAAATATTCTGCAGTTGACAAAGGCAACAAAATCAACAATAAGAAACTTGTTACACAAAGCGATACAAGAAAGCAAAAGTGTTCCATTAATAAAGTGTACGAAACATTACATTAGGGGGGAATCTGGTACACAAAGTAAGTAATTGAAAATAAGAAAAATCAAACAATGGCGTTAGCAATGGGTTTAATGTTACAAGAACACTGTAGTAACACAGACATATAAGAAAATATATATATATATATATATGTACATACGAACCATTAGGTGTGCGATGCCCGAGTGCTGTTGCTGAAAACGAAAGGATATGCATGAGAAAATTTCCAAAATAACTGGTTCTTTACATAGAATTCGTTGTTCTGGAAGAGCTCCATAGCATTATATTTTCTTTATCCCTAATATATTTACCAGGTTTTGTTTCACAAGGGTAATTTCTCTCTTTTTTTTTTAATTTATATTTAATGGGAAAATGCATTAAAGCTAAGTGGTGAGCAGTTATTTTACCTCTTGTAAGCTACAAACCAAGTAAAGAAAGCAAATTCTAGATATCACACGTATTCCGAAGAGTTTAGTTTTACAGATTTAACCTGTCCTTTTTTAGTTTCATTAAAGACAAAAGCATATTTAAGTGAATAACACAAAAATATTCTAGGCCTCGTTGTATAATCAAACAAAGCAAGTAATTTTTCATAGTCATAAATAAATAATTTAATTTGTAAAATAAAATAACAACAAATAAACAGAGAGTTTTATCTTATATAATACACCAACTCATATTACTGAAGCTTTTACCAAATTTTAGCCTATTCTCCGCCTGAATGTTGTATTTAAATAAGTTTCAGTCGGTTGGCGTTATATTAAAAACAAAACAAAAAAACATTTGAATCAAAATCCATAATCTCTTCATAATATAAATTCACATATTCAATCTGCATTTTATATTCAACCGAATAAAATGGAACATTAATTTTTTTCTTCTGTTTCTTTAAAATCTAACAAATTACTATGTTCTCTCTTCTCAATTCTAGCGATATTATTTTACCTCATTTTAATGCTGAATATTGTAATATTTTTGACATTAAATTATTTCAAAAATTCCAAATCAAAGCAAGATAACTTTTGAAAGGCGTGTATAAACATATTCGACTTATAATTAAATGACTAAATAGATCTGGTAATTCTTTACTACAGTTTAGAACATCTGCTGACAGAATTCAACATTCATGTAGAAAGTAAGATTTTAGAACTGACACAATTCGCGATCCTTTCTAGTGAAGCCACCTGTGACGCCACGGGTCATTATACTATCCTAAAGTGTAAATCATAATTCATTCCTATAATTAAAGTCGCCAATGCCACAACTGGTGATTATATTCTACAGTTTAATTAATCACCGCCACAATTCATGATTCTTTCCTACAGTTTAAGTCGCCTGCATTGCCACAGGTCATTATTCTTTCCCATCGTTTAAGTCGCCTGTATTGTCAGGGCTCATGATTCTTTCCAACAGTTTAAGTCGTCTGTATTGGGTCAATATTCTTTCCTACAGTTTAAGTCGCCTGCATTGCCACGGCTCATGATTCTTTCCAACAGTTTAAGTCGCCTGTATTGGGTCATTATTCTTTCCTATCGTTTAAGTCGCCTGTATTGTCAGGGCTCATGATTCTTTCCAACAGTTTAAGTCGTCTGTATTGGGTCATTATTCTTTCCTACAGTTTAAGTCGTCTGTATTGGGTCATTATTCTTTCCTACAGTTTAAGTTGTCTGTATTGGGTCATTATTCTTTCCTACAGTTTAAGTCGTCTGTATTGGGTCATTATTCTTTCCTACAGTTTAAGTCGTCTGTATTGGGTCATTATTCTTTCCTACAGTTTAAGTCGTCTGTATTGGATCATTATTCTTTCCTACAGTTTAAGTAGACTGTATTGCCACGGCTCATGATTCTTTCCTATCGTTTAAATCGCCTGTATTGGGTCATTATTCTTTCCTACAGTTTAAGTCGTCTGTATTGGGTCAATATTCTTTCCAACAGTTTAAGTAGCCTGCATTGCCACAATCCGTGGATCATTTATATACAACTCACTGTCTCCTTTGTTAGTATTGCAGTGTCCCCCCCCCCCATTGGCACAGCGGTATGTCTGCGGACTTACAACGCTAGAAACCGGGTTTCGATACTCGTGTTGGGCAGTGCACAGATAGCCCATTGTGTGTAGCTTTGTGCATAAATTCAAACAAACAAGTATTACAGTTTATATATTATTATTTTCCTTCGGTTTTTATTCTTCAGGCAACACCAGTTTTTTCTTTTTTGTAGCTGGTTAATAATTTCTCTCTGCTTTTGTAACTCACACTTTTAATTTAAATTATAAGAATAATAATTTCTCTCTGCTTTTGTAACTCACACTTTTAATTTAAATTATAAGAATAATAATTTCAGGATTTAAAAAAAAATCTGGGGCAGCAACTTAAACTGATCAAATTTATAAGATATTTAAAGTTTGTTTGTCTTGTTTAAACACAAACTTACACAACTGGTTATATGCGCTGTGCCCACCGCAAGTATTGAACCACGATATTTAGTGTTATAAGCTCGCAAGTTTATCGCTGCTCCACCGAGTAAGCCTACCCTATCATCTAAGTCATTAACATACATTTTCTACAAATTACATTGGTCATATATTGACCTCGCAAAGATAAAAACGCTACATATAAAATGAATTTTGTAAGACAAAGATTTGTATATACTTTGTTGACGTCGGCAAGTTTATTTGCCAGATTATAGTTAACTAATAAGTTTTTGGTTTTATGTCTCACGAGTTATTTATTCATTATGCTACGCTCTTGACCTTGCTTTACTTGATTCGTGTGATATCGTGCGAACTTCCATCCATCTTATCGTATTATCTACACTTTATAGATATGAAAAGCGTAGTCGATCTACTAGAAATACCTCATTGTTGCCTATCAGCCTTCCAATCCAATCATGCTTTCGGGCAGCTTATAACTAATTCACCACCTCATCAAACAGAGATTTCGTGACTGGAAACCGTCTCTGTCCAGTTGCTAACGTGTAAGCCGTTCTGTAATATCAGTATGTGTCTATGCAAGCATCCACTGTCTCGGAGCTGTAACTGCTAATAATTTATATGCCGTCTTTGGGTTATCCCACGCCAGTGTAGTCAGTCAACCTTGTAATTAATTACAAGGGATTTTCCGCAGGCGTGACTCGCAGCTTAAAGTTATACTGCAACGAACCAGTTCGCTTCGAATGGTAAGAAATAGAAATTCGTAAAACAGTCGCTAGGGGCGCTAGGTTTAAATAATATAATCACAAACTAATAGCTCTTTTTTTCTACCAGAAAAACAAGTAATCTATCAAAAATTATTTATTTAATATCCTGCATGAAGAAATGCGTAACTGCAAATAGCCCTAATAGCCTGTCACTTTATTGTGTTAAAACTGAATCAACCATATATATGAAATGGCTCCTAACGACGCTATATTATAACACTATAATAACAGGGCTGAAAGAAGATATTTGTATGTTTTCATTAACTAATGAATGGTAGGGAAACGTTTAAAAATAACTCGAGTTTTCTCCACAAAAGTGAAAAATTGGTAAGTAAACATGGTGTTATTATCTCTCAGAAGACATAACGGGCCAACTTGCTAAATCAAAAAAAAAAATCTTCAGACGACTTGTTTTGGAATTAAGCACAAAACTACACAATGGACTATCTGTGCTCTGTCCACCACGGGTATCGAAACCCGGTTTCTAGCGTTGTAACTCCGCAGACATACCGCTGTGCCACTGAGGGGCAGACTGTTTGTTTGTTTGTATTGAATTTCGCGCAAAGCCACACGAGGGCTATCTATCTGCGCTAGCCGTCCCTAATTTAGCAATGAAAGACTAGAAGGAGAGGGAATGTCATCACCACCCACTACCAACTGTTGGGCTAATCTTTTACCAACGAATAGTGGGATTGACCGTCACATTATAACACCCCCACGGCTGAAAGGGCGAGCATGTTTGGTGGGACGAGTCTTCCGACGATTCGTTATAATAAATTCACATAAAAGTTAAATCAAGTTTCTTAAGAAAATATTGAATGATATACGTTAAAACTTATAAAGAATTGATTATAAAAAAAAATATTTCAAAGTCCTCCAGTCTGATGCTAAGCCAATCGTATCGCTATTAGCAACAAGGCCAATCGCTATTTTTACAACTTCACGCATACAGGAGTTTGATAGCTACCATATACGTAATTCAATATTTGAATCGTGTACTTCAAATCAAATCATTTCACGGTTGCGTTACCCAATGTTTGTGGACTTACAACGCTAAAATCGGGGATTCGATTTTCCGTGGTGAACAGGGCGTAGACAGCCCGTTGTATAGCTCTGCGCTAAAAAATAACAGCAGCAGCATTGCACTGTCAAAATACAAGGTGTTTAACTCTTATAATCAGGTTTACAAACATATTTTTTTATAAACTATTTATGACATTATTTTGTTTTTTACAGCAGTGGTTCCCAAACTGTGGGATGACTCCCTGGCTGCACGACGTTCTTTTGTATTCACCATATTATGATCCTCATTCTTCTGTATAAGCATTCCTGTTATGATTATGTTAACATGCGACGAAGCTGTGCTTCTTTCTTTCTTTCTGTATTTTGTAATAAATATAGAAATACTTTTTAACCTAAACAGATCTTTAATTGAAAGTTATTATGATCACATAATGTGGGTTATGTAGCCTGAGATGCCGCTTTTTTCATGAAAAATAACAAAAAGTTCTTTCGTGTACTTATGCCTAATAAATATGCCTTTATTTTTGCCTATTGAAAACCTTTTATATCCATTTTCTCCGCCATTACGATAATACAATCAGTAAATCCTCACACAACGCTTCTGCATATAGTCAGTAATCCTCACACAACGCTTCTGCATATAGTCAGTAATCCTCACACAATACTTCTACAGATAGTCGGTAATCCCTTCACAAGACTTCTTACACATAGTCATTAACCCCTACACAAGACTTCTTACACGTAGTCAGTAATCCCTACACAAGGCTTCTTACACATAGTCATTAACCCCTACACAAGACTTCTTACACATAGTCAGTAATCCCTACACAAGGCTTCTTACACATAGTCATTAACCCCTACACAAGACGTCTTACACATAGTCATTAACCCCTACACAAGACGTCTTACACATAGTCATTAACCCCTACACAAGACGTCTTACACATAGTCATTAACCCCTACACAAGGCT